TCACACAGTACTTCACTGAATTCCCCAACCACCTCATGGGGGAAGTATACTTATTATCCCCATTTTCCAGGTAAGAAAACTGGGATTCAGAGAAGTAAAGTACCTGGCCCAGGGTCTCAATGCTTGTAAGAGGTGGGGGACTGGATTTGAGCCCAACGATCAGGCTCCAGTGTCTGTGCCCTGAACCATGGCCCTGGACTTTGCAGCCTGCGGGCCAAATCTGAGCAGCCTGGTTTGTTTTTGTACGACTCATGATCTGAAAATGCTTTTTCCAGTTTTAAAGTGTTGTTTAAAAAAAAAATGTGACAAAGACCTATATGACCTGCAAAGCCTAAACTCTTTACTCTCCGTCCCTTTAGACAAAAAGTCTGCCAACTCCTGCCCTAAACCATGATGCTGTGCAGCCTCCCACACCCACCACAGCTGCTAAGACAGGACCCGGAAAGATGCAGAGGGTATAGACAGAAGTCTGTATCCTCAGGGTCAGGGTGTAAGACACGTGAAATGATACCAAACCACACAAGCACACAGCTCCCAGCCTTTGACCCAGACGGGGCCAGTCACAGCACTATGTTTCATGTCCCCAGGCTTAGTGACTGGCTCAGGGAGGGGTGTGTGAAATAAGCCAGGCTGGTGAGATGCGATCCTGGGACTTGAGTGAAAAAAGAGGGACGGAGAGCGTTTATTGGCTCATGTAATTGAAAATGCCAGTGGTATCTATCTGGCTTCAGGTACAACTTGACCTAGCTGTTCACACATGTATTTTTTTATTGCTATATAACAAAGTACTACAAACGTGGCAGCTTAAGCCAAGACGAACTTATTATCTAACAGCTTCTGTGGGTCAGAAATCTGGATATGGGTTAGCTGGCTTCTCTCTGCTCAGGGTCAAAGCAGACTGAAATCAAGGCCTGATTTCAGTGCCTTTAGCTGAGGGTGGCTGAGGCTGTGACCTCGTCCCAGGGTCCTCTTCCAAGCTTCCTGAATGTGGAAGAATTCAGTTCCTTGTGGTTGTAGGAGAACGACCCCACTTTTTTGCTGTCAGGCAGAGGCCACTTCCTGCCAAGTGGCGTTCTCCACAAGATGGCAGTTTGCCCTTTCAAGGACACCTGTAGCGTCTGATTCCTGGCCCACAATGGGCCAGTCACCTTTCAGGACCTTCACCTGATTGGGTCAGGCCCCTCCAGGATAGTCTCCCTTTTGATTCAACTAATTTGGGGTCTTAATTACCTCTTCAAAATCCTTTCCTTTGAACCTAATCATGGGAGTAAAATCCTCCCTGAAGGGGAGGAAATTCTCCAGGGCCTATAGAGAACCACAGGGCCATCTTAGAATCGCCATACAATTTACCTACTTCATGGCTCTGCTTCATTTCCTTGGCCACGTGTGGCCTCCAATAGCTTCTCTATTATCACCCAGTTCAAATACAGAAGGGAAAAAGCTATCATTCAATAGAGCAAATGAAAATCCTAGGCCTGATTCCCATTGGCTCAAAATGGATCATGTGCCCATATTTGAACCAATCACTGGTCAGAGCATGGAATGCACAGATTGGCCAGGTTTGAGTCACACGCCCCAAATTTGGTGCAAGAGGTCAAAGCCATTCCACCAGAGGCTCAAGCATTAAAAACAGGGTCGGGACCATTTCCCCAAGAAGAGTTGCTATTACAAAAACTGTACAAACAAATGTTGGAAACACCCTTCTCTCCTCCCCAAAAAAAGCAAGTATCTATTTTTCATGTACACTCTCCTGGACAGACTACCTGTTTTATCCCCAGTTAGATGCAATTTTTGTTATCCAAATTCCCAACACTTTCTTTGATTTCCTAACTCATTTTTTATTACCGCTTTAGCTGAAAAATATGTACTTCTCTACGTGCCCCTACGGGCCAGTAATGTAAAATTCATAACGGTCGACCTACCAGACGGCATGTGGGAGGGGACCTGCTGAGTCAGAGCCCAGGCTGCTGGGTTCACCCTCCAGCAGGGAGAGGGGTCCCCTCCTCTCCAGCTTCCCCAGCTCAGCTCCTGTGTGAACCTCTAAGGGCTGGTCTCAGGGGTGAGCGTCAAAATATTTAACCTTGGGCCCTGATGCATCAGCCCAGATGCCCGCTGTAAACAACCAGAGCCTTTTCCAGGCCAAATGTTGACCTGTCTGGCCTTTCACAGGGCAGCATGTGGCCAACAGCGCGGTCGCATCAGCCCTTCCAAGAAGTTTTCTGCGGGGCGTTGTACTTGGAGACCGTTTCTGTGTGAGCCTGTGAGTGGCCAATGGTGCTTAAAATCATGGGCCTCTAGCCAACTGACTTAACAGTAATTGTAAATGCACAAGGAAAACTGCTGGTTATGTGCCAGGCACTGTCCTAAGCACTTTGTATATAAACTCATTAATAACTCATGACAACTCTAGGAAGTAGAGGTGATTGTCATTGTCCCTATTTGGCAGAGGAGTTTAAGAGACATGGTGACACACAGCTGGTGAGTAGTAGTACTGGGGTTGAATGTTGCAGATTTGTCTCTGAATACTGGGGTCCCAGTCACTCCATTTTGCCACCTCTTCTGTTCGAAAACGTCACACTCAGGGACATTGATTTGTTTAACAAGTACATGCTGAATACCAACTGTACTAGACACCGTGCTGGGCACTGGGCTAAAACAGTGAACAAACCAGACACAGCCCCTGCTCTCCTGTTGCTAGTGTGGGGTGGAGATGGGGAGGGGGAAAGAGACCTTGGTCACAGACACAGAATAAAAATAATGTCATAGAGTGTCATGTTATTGGAAGACAATAAAATGGGAGGGACAGTAGAAGGTAAGGGAGCTCAGGGAACATCTGTAGGTGAAACAGACAGTGGAGAACTCTCAGGAGGTGACATTTGAGCTGAAATTTGAATGAACGAGCAAAAGATGTGCATATCAGGAGAGAACAGGATTCTAGGCAAAGCAAACAGCAAGTGCAAAGGCCCTGAGGCAGAAAAGGGCTTAAGGAACAAAGAGAAAGACACCCTTGGCTTCGTTAATGTGAGCGAGCTGGGGAGTGACTATGGAATTAGCATTCATTAGGTATGATAACGATGCAGAGGTCATCAGGGAGAACGGGCTTTTCTTAGGAGATGCCCGCTCAAGTCCTGAGGGGTGGTGTACCGTGATGTCTGCGACTTCTTTCCAAATGATTTGACAACGTATAAAGCACACATGGAAAAATATTAACAACTGTTGACTCTAAGTGGGAGGTATAACATATCCACTGTACTATTTTTTTAATTTTTCTTTTGAAATTTTCATAATATAGAAGCAGAGAAAAATGTTAGAGAGATGGGCAGAGTCGGGACCATGTAGATCTCATGGTCCTGCTCAGGAGTGTGGATTTTCCTCTTAAGAGAAGGGGGTTTTAAGCTCAGGAGTCGCATGATCTGGTTTGCTTTGGCCTCATCACAGCTACTGCTGTGGGTTTTCACAGTCAGTTTTTGCAGTTGGAGGAGTCTCTCTAGAGGCCTGTGATATCACATGTTCATTTCTGATTCAGTGAACACTCATCGTGCACCTTCCAGCCAGGCACCATGCATGCGTTTTACCTTCCTTAATCTCACTTAATCCACATGACAGTCTGCAGTGTCCTAATTATTATCCCCATTTGTAAGACAAGGAAACTGAGACCGAGGGAGATCAGCTAAGGAGACACTAGCCAGGGGGAGCAGAGTCCAGGTTGGTTAGAACTTCCACCCAGCGGAAGCACTAAGTCATCATTGCGATTTTACTAAATCTCCACCAACATTAACCATCACCGATTAATTATAATCAAAGCTCAAAAGTGATTTTCTGGAAGGCAATTGTGAAACAGGTGTGTGTCCCAGGCTATATCGATCTGCACGTGTGGTCAGATGGACCCTGCTCTTCCCTTCGAGAAAACCATCATCCACCAAAGATGCAGGAGCTCCCTTTCTCCACAGAGATCTGCAGCCATGCTGCCAGGGGCCCCTTGCTCACTGGAATATTCAGTCACACGTGCGCCCAAGCTGCTTGTGTCTGCTCCACCACACGGCAAAATCCATGAGTTTAATCTCTCTTGTCCGCTGATCCGAAAGATCACTATCGAAGAATGGTTAAGCAACTAGACAAATTGTCACTGTTATTTGTGTTCCTAACTGGAGGCAGCCCGACTGTCTTTTATTTGTGAGAATTCAGAATAAACATCCTGGATGTTCGAGATCGCTCATAAGCAGCCCCTGGGAGACTGCAATTATACGCATTCATAATTCTCCTACCTCACAATCTAACCCTTGATTCATGAATGCGCACTTTTAGGCGTTGGGCGTTAAAATAAATTAGACTCTACAATTACGTGTAATTAAGGGGGGAGCCGGGGACTGTGCAGCAAAGACAGGCCCTGTTTTGCTGAAGGAAAACGTGTCTGTGTCAGCGTGCCGGCCCGGGGAGGCAGCGTGAAACACAATTAATGTTCTTTTGACTTAATAGGGGTTTATGGTGCTGTTTTTCATTATCACAATATCTCAAGAAGTATAAACAGTTTTTCCCTAATGCACTTGCATTTCTACCGACAAGACAGCTGGGTCTAAGTGAAAACTCAGCAAAATTAACCACAGATGTATAATGTTATGGATGATTCTGGGATTTGTATTTTAAAACCCATGCAAAACTGTCCCCATTCAGGAACTGAGAATTTTGATCCCAGCCCCCTGGGGGTGACTGCAGCCTCTTCTGCGTTTGTACAAAGAAGCAAGTTACAGCCAAATTCGTGTGAGTTATTAAAGCCACCTATGCCCCAGTTCTGTGGCTCACGTTTCCAAGCCTGTGTGCAGCCATGTTTCTACTTTACATTTCTCCTTCACGTGTCAATTTGTTCGAGACCCGTTAAAAAGCTTGACTCTTACAACCCTCATAAAATCCCATCTACTCCAACCCAAATGCAGCCAGACACGCTCGGACAATCAGGTTGAGTTTCAGCCTCCCGATGGAGATCAAGAAACACACAGCAGGAATGGTTTGTTTGTTTGTTTAATTGTCGCACAGGAATCAAGGAAATAGAACAGCAGTCTGGCTTTGCAAGGTAGACAGACCAGACAGGCACTCTGCACAGAGGCCCGCCAGTGGACTTGAAGGAAGAAAAAATGAAGCGCGTAGGTGTGAAGAGAAGGGTCCTCTCCAGGTTAAACCAACAAAAAGAGGTGATGAGTCGGGAGTGGCAGGAGGAGCCTAAAAGACCCAGTATCCAGGCAGGACAATCCTGGTGAGAGATGCATTAGGGTGACAAGGGACACGAGAAGAGAAAGGCTGTCCCAGATGGGGTGGTTGGAGATAGACGGGGGCTGTAGAATCAGGAGGGCGGGAGGATCCTGAGAATTCTGCTGAGTGCCCACCTAGGCCCAACCTAGTCATGGCTGAGTGACTTCATAGGCCGGGGACATCTGAGCCCCTGAGGTCTCCCAGGCAGACGCTGTGCTCTGCAATGGGGCCAGGAGTCTCCACCCGCCTGGAAGGAACCTGGAAAACTTAGGCCAAGGCCTTGACCCAGAGGATCATGGAGTTTGCTATGAATTATGGGAAAGAAACGTGGTCAGAGAGCCCTTTGCAGCCCCTCCCACCTAGTGAGTGACTGAGCTAGTAAGGCGTGACCTGAAACGCCATCCACAGTGAACACACCCACGTGTTTGCATGCTCACACACAGGTGTGTGTGCACACGCGGGTATACACAAAGAGGCACAAGATCTGTCACCAACCCCCTATCAAAGGACAAGAGGCAAAACACAGACATCACGATGTTTGGTCTCTGTACAGCAACAGTGGAAAGAACACCCAAAAAGATAATGGCACCTTCTTAGCCTCCAGCGCAGCCCCTCCATTACTGCGGTTCCCTGATGAGCAGAGAAGGATGGAGGAAGAAATTGTAGGCAGACCATCTAGGGAGGAGAGAGTCATGTTCATGAACTTGAGGCCTGAAGGAAGGCAGTGTTTTTGAGCTTTTTTATGGTGGAAATCCCCCCACCTCTGAAATATTCTCCAGAACCCAACATAAAAAGCAAACAAAAAGCAGATCTCACCTCCCTCCTCTACCCCAGGCCCCTAAGGCACCCCCATGGGGCTCTGAGGACCCAACTGGAAAACTGTTGGTGCCGGGTATACGTGTCCCAAAGGCAGGCACAGCTGCATGTGGGTTAAATTCCCACTTGCTGACTTTGTGCCCGTGATCAATCCCTTTACCTTTCTCAGTTTTCTTGAAACACTGTTAAGAGGCTTGATTACATGCAGTAACCTGATGGAAACACTCAGCAGTGGACCATGCAACCTGCCAGAGCTGCGTTATCCAGAATGGGAACCCACAGCCCCGTGTGGATGGTCGGAATTGGGAAATGTTGTAAGTATAAAATACACACTAGCTTCCAAAGAATTAGAAAAAAAGAATACAATATTTCAGTAATAATTTTTTTCTTGGTTACATGTTGATGTAATATTTGGATACACAAGTTTAAATAAACCATATTATTAAAATTAATTTCACCTGTTTCTTTTTACTGTTGACTGCAACTACTAGAAAATTTTAAATTACATACATGGCCCATCTTATATGTCTACCAGGCAGCACCACACTAGAGGCTGTGCAGCAACATGCCCTTCCCTCCACAGAGATGCAGCAGAAGGGGAGGGGTCCCCATTATTTTTTGGTCTGTGATGGCGAAGTAAGCCTGACGTTTTGTTCCAAGGCTAATGGAAGGCAGGTGGTCAGCAAGCCCAGTGGTGCCAAAGGTGAGCACCAAAATCTTAACTTGGAAAAGTGCCAGATTCTTCTGATTTGTTTAGACTAAATTAATTGGGGGGGGGGCGAGTAAGGGAAATTATGGTGGGGAGAGTCTAGACCCAAACTCACCACCCCACCCTGCCCTCCACTGAGTCAGGACACCCAATTCGCATTCCACATAAACAACAAAGAATTTTTTAGTGTAAGAATATCCTCATGGGCCACTGTCCATTTTTATTTACTAAACATGACAACCCTAACTAGCATGAAAAAGGACACCACCAGGGAACAGAGATCTTGGTCTGAAAAAGTAACAGTGGCTTGGGATGAAGAACATAACTCTGGACCCAAATTTCTTGGGTTCGAGTCCTAGGTCCACCACTTACAATTCTGTGACCTTGAGTCACTTACATAACCTCTCAGTGACTTTGTCTCCATATCTATAATCCTACTCCTTACCTTGTAAGATTATTAGATTTAAATAAGTAACTACGGCCTGCCAGTAAATTTACTACCGCAAAGTCACTTGCTCCTTAACGACACAGCTGTTTTCTGCAGCTACTAGTTGGTTCTCTGCTGGTTCTTTGTCCACCCCTGTCTGCAGCCCCGTCCCCCTCCGGCCTCTTCTGTGGCTCAGGGGACAGTGGAAACGGCGGTAGACAGCACCACCTTGAGTCGAATTTCTCTTCTTTCAGAAGCAGCCCGTTTCTCCTTTCTTTCCCGTTCCCGGACCATTTCTGGGCAAACGCAGCTATTTTCACTTAAGCTCAAGTTAATGTCTCGGGGAGCTTCCTGGGCGCGTGTGCAGGTCGTGGCGCGTGGGCGGTTCACCGTGCGATCTCGCTGCGGGCCCGGCTCCAGCCCGCGTGTGCAAAGGCAAGTGTGTCTAGAGGCAAGCGCGGGGCTTTCGGCAAAGGCGGTCGGTGTTTGCAGACCCAGGCGAGCCCTTGTGAAAGCAGATGAAAGAAAACATTTATTAACGTGTCATTACGAGGGGAGCGCCCGGCCCGGGCTCTCGCAAGCTCCGCGGAACACTTGGCTCCTTCCGCTCAGAGAGAGAAGAAAAGGAAAGTGGAAAAGAGGCAAAGATTCTCTTCGTTCGCAGCCAAGTGGACCTGATCGATGATCCTCCTGACTTTATTGCGATCATTGATTTATTAGAGATGCCTCCCTTCGTTTGTGTGTTGCGCACACATACTCGCACGCACGGTTCTGGCTCGCGTCCCTCCCTCATTTCCAGCGCCTGGGCGAATCCCACAGCTGTTTCAACTCTCCGCCGACGGCAAGCAGGAGCGAGTGTGTCGGGTGAGTGTGCGTCTGTGTCCCGGCGAGGGTGCGCGCTCGGCGCCGGGAGCGCGGCCAGCCGGGTCCCGCGGCTTCGGGAGGCCGAGA